ACTTTATTTTCTAATTGTGGACAAACCAATATCGAAGATGTCGGCCATCTTCTTTTCACCTTATTCACGCCACAAAAGAGACCCGTCGCTAGATTGTGAAATGACCGATATTCTAAACAAGCAGACCGACCAATTTCGACGTTTGACATTAATCTATTCCATAGGGGTACCCAGTCTTGATTCCAAACTAGAGTTTGAGGTACCCATACATACGTACCTACTGTGAACGTGCTGATGTAGCATTTTATTACCGGCTTTGTAGGTCGTTCTTCGTTTATAAAATAAATACACTTTATTTTCTAATTGTGGACAAACCAATATCGAAGATGTCGGCCATCTTCTTTTCACCTTATTCACGCCACAAAAGAGACCCGTCGCTAGATTGTGAAATGACCGATATTCTAAACAAGCAGACCGACCAATTTCGACGTTTGACATTAATCTATTCCATAGGGGTACCCAGTCTTGATTCCAAACTAGAGTTTGAGGTACCCATACATACGTACCTACTGTGAACGTGCTGATGTAGCATTTTATCTTTAAGTACAGGTCCTATTTTCCCTTAAGATATAAACGTATAAACTTCGGTCATAGTGTGACGGTGATATATGTAGTAGATAATATTTGCTAATCTTTGTCCTAAGTAACTATTAAAAATATCTAGACGTTTCGCGCAATGGCTCTTTATCGATAACACAGTAGAACATGTTAAAACGTATAGGTAGAACTTAAGAACGTAATGACACGCACAGCAACTATAAAATGGAATTTCTAAGTAGCCAGTTTGCCTCAACTTTCCTCGAGAACATCATGTGTTACATACATCACCGACACCATCCTAACACCTACTATATTAATAAAATTGTGTATACAAAGCTATGTACCTATGTATTATACTATATTATCATACATCTGTCACCGTAACGCCATAAGTTACAGCATGCCGTAATTTTGCGGTATTTTACGGGGTATTTTCATCCTACCATATTAAGAAATGCGAATTCCAAATATGGAATGATTACGCGCGTAAGCGTTCTCTGATAATAAAAAAAAAAAACATTGCTGCCACAAAGCAAGGTTTGGCCGGACTCCACACAAAGAAATTCGCTGATTCTGTTCTAATTTTTTTGGATTTCGGCATTCCCATGATGTATCATTGGGAGGAAAAGATGTATAATAATAAGGTTATTACGAGGATATCTGAAAATATGCACTCAGACAGTACGCCGTCGCATCGACCTACTGCGTCCAAGATTACTGCCAAACCAAGGTGTTTTTTTAAATATGCATTATTGCCTTTTACAGGGTGTAATATGGACAAAAACTGCTTAAACACAAGAATACCCATAATTATGCATATTTTCTTTTTAAATATTACCGACCGAATACGACTTGGCATAAATGACCCAACACGTGACGAACTAAACATAATACTTACATAATACATACTACGCTAAGAATAATACACTTACATATAAAGATGATATATAGACACAATGAGGGGGTAAATTTGAAGCGTGACGTAGTAGTAACTGAAATGACACATCGAATATACTGCACATCAAGAAACATAACAACATGCCTATCATCTGGATTTTGACAAAATTAACCTCATCCAATTACAGACACGTTCACGCTAGCAAGGTTTGTGTGTATACGGACAGTATCTTGGGTATATCTATAACTCTGAATCAATAGAAAAAGCGACACTTATTCTGTGGTGATTAATATTGTATATATGAATTAGCTTACATGTTTGTAATGACAAATGAACCATACCAACTTTGTACACCTGTATGCTATAATTGGATGTGATGCCATTTTAATCTAAAACGTTTCCTTTTGATGATTATTTTAAATTTTTGACCGGTAAATTTGCTGTACTGGATTTTCCATGACTGTAAGAAGTCGAAATGAGATGGGTACAGCAATTATAATCAAAATCGATTGGTAATTTTAAAGGCTAAGGTACACGTGTTTAAGTACATGTATTTTGGATTACTAGTACGTACTATTAATTTAAGATACATGTGTTTGAATTAGTGGTACGTACTATTAATTCAAAATACATGTGTTTTAATTAGTGGTACGTACTATTAATTCAAGATACATGTGTTTGAATTAGTGGTAAGTACTATTAATTTAAGATACATGTGTTTGAATTAGTGGTACGTACTATTAATTCAAGATACATGTGTTTGAATTAGTGGTACGTACTATTAATTCAAAGTCCATGCGCATTGGATTACTAAAACGTACTATAAATTTAAAGTTTACCGCACTGAGTATTAGTACGTACTACTAATTCAAATGCATGCGCAAAACACGTTTTTAGTTTATGATAACTTGTGTATGTGTGTGCGTGTGTGCCAACATGTGAAATCAACCAACACATTCACCAAGCTGCCCGATATTGCATTTTTAAGGTTTGCGCTTCAAGGGATGGGAGTTTAAACGCATGCATTTCCACTCTATATGAAAATTTGTCCGAAAACTCGCGACACATGGCAAATAAGACGTTTACGGGGGCGCAGATTTTATCGAGATCGCCATTGGCACTTTTAGATGGTAATATTATAAAAGAAGAAGGTGAGACGCGGGATGTTAGGAGACTGTCGTTGGTTCAGCTGATCGGGATGGATGGGTCCTCATTACATGACTACCTTTCACTGCAGTAATATCAATATTTACTAATATTCCCCTGAAATTGTGATGAAAATAATTATCCTGTTGAAATGTTTTTTTCCTAATTGTGTAGAATTGATACAACTTTTACAATATAACTGTCGCAATCCGATGTCAGCGTTTTAATTTCAACAAAAATGCGTTTATTTTGAGGTAAAATATATTAATAGAACAAGGCATTTAAATGATTTTGCTGTTATTATTTATTTATTACTAGCCTGGGTATATACATCTATATCAAATATGGCGGATGAATATTCAAACAAAAAAGAAATGAAACACCATAACCGACGATTTTGTGAAACGACTCCGCGCTCCACGCCTGGGATAGCCTAAGTTCAACTTTTTACTCGAGTTTTAAATTATAAATTGTTCAGAGAGCCTAAGTTGCCAGGGTTGTGACATTTGCAGTGCCATGCGCTGTCAAAAACCCGAGTAGAGGGTCACGATACGTTAAAAACAATGAATAGTCAATCAACACCTTGAGCGTTTCACTCGTGTCGTTGTTAAAATAGATACGATGATTATTATATGCCTCTTAACCGTATCGGATTGCAGTGCAAGCTTTCAAAGATGGACAATAAAACACTTTCGGTCAAATGAAAGTTATTTTTAATACATTAAAACTCCTGTTCAGGATAATCACGGCTTTACTCACTATTAGTGTGCTGCCACAAATCCGGGTTCAAACTCATTGCAGATACACAATACAATATTCATATTCACATTATTTTATATGTAAACACCCCCAACTCCATTCAATATGCTTTCATACAATATATTCACAGAGTACATATCTACGCCATATGCCACGCTCACACCCATATATTTATACATATACACATACACCATTACACCGTATACTACACTTCCATACAATATATTCACAGAGTACATATCTACGCCATATGCCACGCTCACACCCATATATTTATACACATACACAAACACCTTTACGCCATATACTACACTTCCATACAATATATTCACAGAGTACATATCTACGCCATATGCCACGCTCACACCCATATATTTATACATATACACATACACCTTTACACCTTACACTACACTTCCATACAATATATTCACAGAGTACATATCTACGCCATATGCCACGCTCACACCCATATATTTATACATATACACATACACCTTTACACCTTACACTACACTTCCATACAATATATTTACAGAGTACATATCTACGCCATATGCCACGCTCACACCATATATTTATACATATACACATACACCTTTACACCATACACTACACTTCCATACAATATATTCACAGAGTACATATCTACGCCATATTCCACGCTCACACCATATATTTATACATATACACAAACACCTTTATGCCATATACACTTCCATACAGTATATTCACAGAATACATATCTACGCCATATGCCACGCTCACATCCATATATTTATACATATACACAAACACCTTTACACCATACACTACACTTCCATACAATATATTCACACAATACATATCTACGTCGCACGCTGCGCTCACATCCACATATTCAAACGCCCGCACCTACAGGCCATATAATATATGAAAAACTATTAACGATTTTAAACAAAGCAAAATATGACCAATGATATACCTGTAATACTAAAGTAACCAATGTAGGCGGCGTGTCCTGTAGTACACACTGTCCCTACAATGACATTCAGTATACACACGTCAGTAGTGTAACTTTAACCTTATCGACGTAAGTGCAGAATGGTGAAAATTCAAATCAAAATAAGCCGGCTATGTCTTTAATGACGTAAACTGACATAGCCACACAGTGGTACTTTGAAAAATATCAACGGGCGGGGTACTACTACTAGCATACTTCCTAGTTTCTTACGTTGTGGGGTCGTACGGTTTATTGACGGGTCCCAAATTTCAATAAAACGATCCTAACAGTGGAATGTTTGATTTGTTGTTCATCTGTGTGACTGCACTCATTAGTTACCACGACTCCGCCTCGCTACTTTCGCCGCTACTCTTAGAAAGCGGATGCAAAAGAGGGAACAAAATAAACCCGTTCATAAAAAATGATGAATGCTTCTAGTTTTTTCTTCTTCTTAAAACGCCCACTAACGTGTACTAATTGTAATTAGTATTACACAAAGACGAGTAAATGGAATCTAAACAAACAAGTGGCGGTAGGATGCTTTGATGTATTCATAGTCTCCCTCCTCGTACAACGTATTCCGCGCTGACAATGATGTTGATCTACGCATGCTCAGTTCACTAATGCCCATGTGTTAATTTCTTTGGCTTTCAGATCACACATTTGAAGCGGGGGATCACAGTGACAGCGCCTTGTGTGAAACATAGTAACAACGATCGGTGTTTCTACGTTATATATACGTGACCCAGCCTCTCACCTGGCGTAAGACGATATGGACACCTGTATCCCAGGACTTTCTTACCGGTAAGCTTGCATCAATTTAAACTACGCACTGAAAGTGTAAGCGACTTAATACTATTGTCGGCATCTAGTTTGTAACACATTGATCTCTGTCAGGGGGGAGGAGAAGTAAAATCGCTCAAAATACCGTAATTATCAAATTAGCAAATAATAGTGCATGACTCCCACTTCACAAGGTACGGGCTGGTGTGGATAAATGTCGATACTTTCTTCGGATAGATACTTGTCACGCCAAGTATAAATTTAATTGTGTAAGTGACTCACAATGATAGACCTTCATTGTAGTGACAGGAATTGGCAAACAATCCACTCGAATGTAATCAGATTACAACGAGCCACTTAAATTTGCACGGACTTTCACAACTTTAGAGTGCATTGCGGAAACGCCTCCTCCTATGCATAAAGGCACAGGCACTATTTAACACCGACATTCAAAAATTGAGATGTTCAAATATTTAAAGGGGGTAAAAAACAAGTCAGTAAGCGAGTTAAATGACAATACAACATAAACTTGACAGTCCTTACTACCTGTCTCAATGTTGACGGCACGTATCTCCAACTTGCGTGTCTATGCCATCCGATTCCCAAACTCAGTACGACGCTATTCGAGGTACTGTCCCTGTTTGTTGGAACTGCTTGTTTGGGTGCACTGACAAAATCGTCATACATTACTACATTGGTCAGTGTGCTTCTAAATTAAAAGAGTTGAAGCCTCCGTAACTACAAGCGCGTCGAACCCGTCGTTTACAGAAAATCGGACGTCGGCGTAAACGTACAAACCGATTCCATTATGTGGTCGCCGATCTCCACTCACCTTCACATGTAGTGAAGCCACAATTGTCACGAATCAACACATTTTGATGACGGTGAACGAAATCATACGCTGATAGCAGTAAATTTTCACAGTTGAATGACGAAAATAATAAAAAAAGAACGTTTTGGCATGCAGCTGAAGTAAAGATGTTAAAAAGCGGCACCTCATCTACTGTAAGAACGTTGTCCTATGTCTTTGTAATTCGAACCGACTTTACAACTTAGGCGAGCAACCCACTTATTGAAACAAACTGTGTAAGTCAAGGATGCGGGATTCATTTTACCCCGTCTTATCAAGTTGGTTTTCGTGATTTTATTGACTGCACAACATGTTCGAAAAGTCTGAAAACACCGATATATTGCATACACAAATATCCATTTAAAATCCGTGAATTTAGAATTTCAAAATGAATTGAATAATCACTAATTTTGAATATTTCCTTTGTGCGGCGTTAACATGATATAATTGTGATACACTGCCCCCTGACAACAATGAATGAATGACGTAATCATATACAACACAGCAACACTCGAGTTTGCAAATGACGTCATTTCCTGGATAGCAACCTGAACGCAAGTGTACGGGGATTCTGGGATAGTGTCTTTTATAATAACATGGCGTACTTTAGGAATGTAACAGACCGTGTAATGACAATATTATCCCGTGGCCAACTACAATGTGTATTACAAATTTGGAATTCAACAATAATAGTACAGGCCTTCGTCTCAATGTCGAGTAAGGGAAATGATATTAGTAAGACGTTGGAGAATCTACCTCAGTTGTCTACTATTTGCCACCCACGTTGTGTAAAGTAAGGTACCTATCATTATGTACAATATTCACATCTATCAGAAGAGTAGTTTATCATGCATCAATGTACCCCTCGGACCAGGTGGGCCATGGATTATCCCTATCCCTTTATACAGAACTTGAAATGTTCCTGCAAAAATGATAATAAGATTTTGTTATCAGCTCTAAACCATACTTATTTTAAGCGCTGACCTGACTTTGTGCCAAGAGTTCCTCGAGTGTTTTCACAAATTGTTACTCGTCCACCTGCCTCAGATGGGCAGAGGCATGTCGGAGTTTGCATTAACTGCCACTATATTATCAACCATGGTGCACTGATACATATCCATAAATCATATATCCCATGATGCATTGCCGAATGTCCCATGATATGCACATCACACGGTGCAGAATCGCATATCCCATGATGCATTGCCACATACAATGTATACTATAATGCACTGTTCTATATCCCATGATGCACTGCTTCAGTCCAATGCTGTCCACGATGCAACGTCTGGGGTTGACGACGAGATAGAATCTTTCTTCAAATATTGTTGGCCAAGGATGGAGTTTGAACCCAAAACATCAACCACACCGAGTAGAGGCTCTAACGACTGAGCGATTATGGATTGCGATGGACGATCTCTGGAATATAGCTACGGTCAATTCGATTGTCATATGGTTGTCGAATTGTCCATGTGCAAAAGACTAAGTGTACAATACACATATACACGAGCAGTTCAATTGATTACTGAATCGTTAAATATTACCATTTGTCACTCACTAACTCAAAAGTGTTATTTTGTAAAAAGTCGTGTGAAATTAGTACACACGGGCTAGTACACCCGAGACGTGCATTTTACTCGACTTTGGCCTAAACTGTGGGATTATATCTGTAAACCCACACGTTCTTGTGGTGTTTCTAGCACATATTATTGGTGTACATTTGTTAACTAGCTATCCGTGCGGACACGTAACCAACGATATTATCATTTGTCAATGACGCGATACGTACACGTAATAATGTGTTGACATACATGCCCATAAAAGGCAAACATAGATATTGGTAAAACCAAAACCTGACCAAAATAAGTACAATTAAAATGTTAAAACAATTGAAGCGAATATTCGACCAAAAAATACAGAAGAACTGCTAATCGGTAAAGTCTGAGCTGATGGTTTCACACATATTTGGAGAGTGGGACTTCATAAATGATGTCTTGTCAATTTGTCAGCAATATCCCCACGCTATAAACCGTGATCATGTGTTCCTGTACATAACGTGGCCCGTCTGGGACTGTATGCCACTAGTCCGAGCGCGTACAAAGAGCGCGTCATCGAATTATAACGGTCTGCTCAATGAATACGATTTTAAACAGCTAACATGTTGTTAGGCTTCCTTGGGGGTTTTACTGTAATTTAAAGAGTACCATAGAACGCCGAGCATGTTTAACAAAGCGTTAATAACTAGTATCAAAGGTCGGGGTAATTTATAATCGATGTCCTGCTAATATTTTTATGATTTGCACTCGATCCAATCTGGGTCGCTTTTTCATCACGGTAATGTGCTAAATTATGCAATATCTTGTAGAATCAATATACCTGGTCTCATTGTTAGTGTTTTACCTATTAATTTGGATCGCGTATCGTATAAAGACCTCGCCTTAAAACGATTCTACAGCTAACAATAGTTTCTTGCTTTACCCGCCGGCGAACGTCTTAATATAAAGTTATTACTACTATAAATGCCGACAAAAATAGCACTTTCCGTGCTTTTTTATTCGACTATAGTGCCGAGCACTCTGTCGCGTTGTCAATCTTTTATTCGGCTCAACTTGAGTTCCAGATGGAAATCGTGCGTCTGTTTGGTTCAACCGTTTACACTCACCCACGTATTCGTAAATCATGATACTGTTATATTAGTACCATATTCTTACGCGTCGTGTTCACCAAACCCGACGCATATACGAAGTCACGAGTGATTGTTTGCACGGAATTGAAACTCGTGCACTGCATGACGCCACCCCACCGACATATCACAGTACTACCTGTCGCTATAACGGTACCTGTTCCTGCACCTAGAAACCATTTTATTTGAAAATTTCAAAACTGGCCAGAAATTGCCGAAAATGTAATTTCATCATCTGAAACATTGGCATAAGTTATGAGATCAATTATGCAAATTGCTTTTAAATTTTCGTCGCTTGCCATTGGCGAGGATATTGAGCCACAGGTGTTCATATGGGCAATACGATATTATTTCCGAGCATCCGGGTATTTGGTATAGTATTATATCGCAGCAGATAAAGTGTACTCGCAGTTAAACGTGCTATGGCACAGTGTTTCAATTCATGCAAGAAATCATTTATATCGCCGGCAATGAATAAAGAAATTAGTATGCGGGAGAATAATATGGTCTTCCAGTGGTTCGGTTTGTATGTGTGTTTACCAGTCCATCGTCGCCGCGTTACACGATCTGTGAAGGGGTCTGCCTCATCCGACTCTACTTCCCAAATTTAATAGTGTGATTCCATATTTGGATGGACATCATTATACTGAAGTCATTTCGGGCGTGCTATAATTACGATATGATAGTAATTTACACATGACGTAAAATGGAACTCGTAATGAAATACTAGTAGATTAGATACCCCGGCAGTATGTATGAAGGTTTATGTTCAATTGTTTAATCTGTGAGATGGAATGGATAATTATGAGTTGTACTAGGACAATACCATGACACAATGAATATAATGAGCTGAGCTTGTATCGTTATTGTTTCTGTCTTCTCCTCACGACATTGTGTCCGTATTAATCGTGCACATGCGCGGACGTTTAGCTTTGCGTTGACAGTGTTGCAATCGAGTGAGTGAGTGAGCATGTATCTCGAAGTGTCCGGCCAAGATGTGCATGAGAGGTGCGTGACTGTTTGAATTGTTTACGGAGATTTTATTAACTTATTGCTTTTTTTTAACTGTTCTAATTCTCTATTTTACGCATGTAGGTTAAACATGAATTGGCAGTCGAGAGTGCAGACCTGTGAGATTGGTATGCTGAGTTTTCCGCCTCCTCCACACCTTCCGCCACCGTCATCAACCCTACATCTACCACTGGAACAAGTGTGTAGCCAGCCTCGTCATACAACACCAATGCACCCAAGACCACAGTTAGTCCAGCAGATAAACGACTCCACTTCCACTAGTCGGCAACGTATGAACCAGCAAACTTCAATAGTTTCTCCGCCAGCTTCGTCATCCCGCCAGCTACCAGTAACCGTTCCCTACCCATTGCCGTATTATTTTTCGCAAGCTGAAATCGACATGGTTTTATATGACTGCGCGCGAAATCCATTCAATGACCAATCTCCAAGGCACGCCTTGTCGGGCCTCGGACTCAAAGATAATGGTACGTACTAGTTATGACTGTTTCATTTTAGAGCCCAGAAATTTCATTAACCTAACCTGCCACTATATTTATCGCTTATTTTACGCATTTATTTCAATCTCTAACTCGAATCTAACCATCTGTGATCGTAAATATCTTTATCGGATGATCAACTAACCAACTTCTTTTAACCAGATCATTTTGTGTCAATTCTTTTCGAAACCGTTGAACGAGATAATGTACTTTGTCGTACAAGTTACGTTATTCTGAGTGTATAAGTATATTTCTGAGGAACCCGGTGCGTTAACCGAAAGTAACTTTACCCATACGTCGGCGTGATGCAAATCAGTTAGTAACGGCGCTCTTTGTTGTCCATCTTCAAGTCATTGATCTATGATTAACACTTTATCACCGAGAGAATGGATTCCTATTAAGGGGGATTACGAAAATCATGGTGCTGTGTGTATATAGTACGCTATCGCACATGTAGACGACGCCCAGACCCCAATTACTATTATTCACTGGTCTGAGGATGAACCGAAACGGTAGTAATGTGAGCCACGCCCACGAGAGGGTCCGATCTTAGGTCGCAATCCGGTATCGTGGCTAGTAGTGATTAGATTTAACGTTTTAACGGGAGATGCTCCTCAAAATAACTACTCAATCGATGTGCCAATGGGTTGCTGAATATCGGGGACTTTCGGGTACTAGACTGAACAGCGGCAGACCAACGTTTGTAAGTATGTTGGTGACAGCATATCTCCCATCAAGTTTTTTTTTCGACCGCTATAAGTTATCCACTAGTGTCACTCGTCATTGATAAGAATAGAACACAATTAAAAAAACCGCCCATCTCATCAACCTCATTATCCGCTATAGATAGTACACAGTGTACGCATTGTGGAGGAGATTATCCGACAGCTTGTTGGCAGATTGAGCGTTGTATGTATGTATGCATGCGCGTGTCAGCTTATCCCTCTATACTGAATCCTCCAAAGATGTACAAAGTCCGGAGAAGCACCTGTATTTTCAATAAAGCAGAGGATTACGCGAGACAATGCTTTCACTGTGTTAACTTAATTATGGCTTTTTAGTGTAGCACTCACAGTCAGATAAGTTGTTCTTTTAATCTCAGCACTGAAGTTCATAGTTGAGTAAACGTAATCATCTATGCAATTATCGGCCACTAAACTTCCAGCTTCTTGTTGCTTTCCGACGTAGCATTCCAATCAATGAGATAAACGAGTTAAAGGCGATATGCTTCAAAGTAACCAGAAGCACATATCTACGAAAAATCACCTTAAATGGCAGAATTCGTGACATGTGTAACCATAACCGGAGGTGGAAACCGAAAACCTATTTTCTCATAAAATGCAATAAATGTCAGGATTACAGAAAAAGAAATAGCTGACTGACACATCGGCAATTGTATTATTAAACAAACCACCAGAAGCAGAATTCGCTGAATTAAGTTCCGATAAGGAGCTGATAGTTTGAACCACAGGGACGTTTAATTATCGTAGACCCTCACAGTGACAGCCCGTGTGGTTTGTCGGTTGATTCGAAGCATTTATACCTGGCTGAATTTGATGCGTCGGGAAATCTGTCAACATAAAAGCTGCTCTCTAATTGGTCTGACTGTTAGATTTTTTAGTTGTTTCGTACTTTTTTTCTGTATGTATTTGTATCTATTTCTACCCCACCCCATGAGCATGTGTGAGTGTTATTTAATAAGTTTTAAACTGGATGGTGGAATTCAGACATGTGCTTAGTTTAAACCAACTCGGGATATGGATAAAGATAAGTTATTATAATTTCATTCTATGATAGTTGGGGGAGGGTCGTGAAAGCAAAGACATATTCAAGATGAACGACATTCGAAAATATTGAAATTGCGAATTTATATTTACGTCCATCGAAAGAGCCATCGGGGAAAACAAAAAAACGTAATTGTTCGACCTGGCAGGTCGAGAGTTAGACAATGAGGTTGGCAGGAATGGCCAAGGATAGTACAGCAAACAACAATTTCGGAGATTGTTTAAGGAGAGAGAACTGTTATGATTTAATTTTTTGCTCATCTGGTGAACTGAAAAGAGGGACGTTGAAAGTGGATTGGACGCGATTTACTGCGAGAGGGACCTATGCGATATACTGACTATACAAATTGAGAAGCGACGATGTTTCTGACATCATGGCGGTCAGGACATTCCGAATGTTTTGTTGTGGGCTATGCTACGATCCTGACATCTCCAGGACATTCAGTGTTATTGTTTGGGTTATGCGTCCTGTGGACAGGACTGTGAGCTATCATAAGACTCCGTGCGCGTTATGCTCCACAGAAACATAGTATATATATATATGTTTTCCAATCAGTCTGAGCAAAATATTTTCATTTCTCCAATTCATTGGCGTAAATAGCTGTGCCACCACAAATTGTGTAAAGTGATTACGGTTGAACTTTCTGAAAGTTGAAAAATATGAACAGAATTTTGAACAAAAGTTGCGGCCTATAAATACACTTTATAATCATTGATTCCCCTTGGAAGTAATTTCAGTGAGCAGAACTTATAGAAATTGGCACATTATACAATAATTTGAATATGTACACAACTAAAATACGATAATTCGTGATATATCCGGTCGTAATCATGCCCGACACATGGGTATTTCATGAATACACACTCGGCCTCTTAGACGCAAACCTGTGGATCAATACCGACACACAATTCAACGCGTCTTTTCAAATTGGCCAACAAACGATTGCAACGAATGAAACATTGACGATTTCTTCCTTCGTCAAATGGTGTAATTGCTATATTTCCGAATAACAGCAATAGTCCTATTTAACCATGACCCCCAATCAATTAACTACTGCAGGAGCTTCTCCGGTTATTTGACTTCGACACTTAGACGAACGCATAATGTATATTTGTTATAATTATATTAAAGCAACCCGACATGTTACGTGTTTGCTCGATACATTGTAATTTCTTTTAGTTCGATTTACGCCAGTGTCCGGAGCTGTTTATTTTTGCAGATTTTTTTTATTCGCGATTTTTTTCGGCTTATTCCGTTTTCTTCGGTCCTTTGTTCGACTCTATCTAAATGCCTGTAACAATCTCTATTGAAAATCACCGAAGCGAAAAATTGGGAACACATAACACCACTGGTTTGGTAACACTACGCTAAAGCCTGGAACATTGTGGACGCACACGCGCGTTGTTTTACAAATGGCGTAGTAGTACAAAGACTTTTTTCGGACCAGTTGAAAACAGCTGTTATTACTTCACTTCGTCATATCTCCCGCCCTTCAATCATTAAAAAAATAACATTCTGTTATTTTAAACATAAATATCGTTCAGTTTGTTTCTACTATGTTTACACCAATGCGTGACTTTTTCACGTGATTCACATTACGATTTGTTATCCTAGTGTATCATTCCGACCACGTGGTACTAAACAGATGTCGAACTCCATACAGTTTGCAAGCTACATAAAGAGTACTAGCACTTTGATAATCCATCTAAATTCATGACAAATACTAGTATCACCCAACAGCCTATTCGACTTGTTGCACTTGTTTGTCTTTTATATCGGACGCCGCGGCGTTGGCTTTCGAATCACACGCCCATGTTTCATTAATTTGGTCACAATTTCGCAATAAATTTCTGCGTGTCTCGAAGCCTTAGTCTGAGTTCTGGTAGAAGATCCCGGAGGAGCTTTGCCCAGACTGTCGACTCTGAGTCGCGCCATGTGTATGAATTGAGATTAGATTCATGCTAAATAACACAATGTAGACACCATTTGTACCGTCTTGTTGCCAAACAAAACTTAGCTTTCAGGTTGGCAAACCAACCGGCGTTTACATGTATTCAGTCTGTCTCGCATTCAGTGGGATTACAGCATCTATAGTATCACTTTAATTGGAAGAAAACGCGACATCAGCGGCAGCCTTTAATGGGACCGGTGTTTTTCTAATCTTCCGACTTCTCTTCTGACGTTTCATGTGCCCGTAGTTTCCCCCCAGGGATGCCCGAGGCGACGGTATACCGACAGAGCACGGCCCTATAGAACTGTAAAGAAATTACTTCTAATCTGTTATGCCTTGTATGTGAATAGTCCGCATAACGGTATCTATTATCGCACGGTAAGCGATAAGGTACCGCCACAAGCACCGTAACTTTCCCGAGAAAAACATAAATTTTAAACAAGCTATCTTGTTTTACAATTTTGTTTGCAAATGCGTGCTCGTTGTGGGTACTGGAATACGATACCCGAAAAGCCGCTGACAAAGATAACCTTTTGGGTCAGTGTCGAGTTTTCTTTTAATGTGGTTATTAAAATTACATACACTTTTTTAATGTCATATCTAGTCTTCCACTAGAAAAACTACAAATCTGTAGTTTGTGTGGACTCACAATAGTCATGTGATGTACAACTTATTCAACATTGAAATGTCACATTATTGATAGAATGAAGTCAGAGTGTATTTTTTGATCGAGATTTATTGTATAAAAACACGCTGAACTCGGCTTAGATAATTCTGAATTTTAAGAGTGTTGATTATCGAGTTTCATATTTCTGTTGGAAAGCACAGGATGCAAAGAATGACCTCCCTCCCCCATCCCCCGGGAGCACCTCTGACGGTTTTTGATCCTACGCTAGCTGGTATATACCCCTTCCTAATTTATGACTTTGAGTCAATTATGCTAAAAATTCCGAAATCAGTCCTGTTAAATTTGTCAATATAGCTTATTTTTGCCATCAATTTTACCAAAAAAAAACCATAAGATTAAAACAACTTTTGAAAAAGAAAACGACAGCTGTTTTTAAATGTTATTCATATAAAACTGATATAGAAAAATTTAACTAACAAACTATTTGATCAAAACGCACGAGAGATACCCTGGAACAAAATTACAATATATCTGGAAACCCATGAAATTTTAGTTCGCTATATACGTTATATAACGCGTTGGTTTGTGTGCGTCTAACAAACTAACCAATACCACCCGTCTAATGGTTTCCCCGCCCATGTCTTTTAGGCGACTCAGAATTCTTGAAACACTGATAATTGAGATCTCTCCGGCGATTGTTTTCCAAATACATAAGACAATGACCGTCCTATTGCAATTAATTTGCCAAACACCAATTAAAACGCCATGATTGCTAGTGAGATCATCTCTAATGATCGTATATGATGAAACAACGCTTGGATATTCTTGCATCTTTTTAAGTACTTCTTATTTCAACAGTTTTAGTGCTGTATATAATGTGCCACATTGTTCTCAATGGTTGACCAAATTGAATCCTTGAAAACGCATTATGATTTAATTCTTTAAATTTAAATAAATGGATTATAAATAAACATTATTCTAACCCAGGAGATCGACTTAACACTGAACGGTGTTAGTATTGGCACGACTTCGGGTTGTCAATCGCCGTGAAGACCTCGCATGGACTAGTAAATCACTCAAGACAGTTATCTATAAAGACCGCAAATTGGAAAATAATTGTTTATTTGTTAAAGTGTTGTCAGTTTTAAGGATTTAAACTCCAAACATGTCAGAACAGGCCAAACTAACCTGAAATCGCAACATCCGTCATTAGCCATGTTTTCGCCCAGTGATTATTTCAAAACATTACGCCACTCTTCTAGTTAATTGCTTGACTGATTGTTAAATAAACGCTGAAATTACTAGTACCATGGCAATTTGGCAAGTCATATACCCATCTATTTACTACTATTTATAAGCATTTAAGCAGTTTAAATGAAACGAGTTTCTTTCTCTCCATTCCCCTCATTCGTCCCGTTCATAACCCATCGCACGGGATCAAAATACAAATAAACATGTTTTCTAAAGTGTCCGGTTCCGAGCCGCCACACTAGGATCTCATCCGTAATATAGTTGAACGGCAGATGTGCCGGTCTTTACAAACAATTCAAAGACTCGGGAAATACATATTCCCAAAAGGAAAATTCCGTGGACTTCTATTGCATTTATTGTATCTATCTATTTTTTTTAGCTCCATTCTTCGTTCCATGAGGCATTCTGCGAACGGACCACGCGAAGGTTGAAAAAAAAACGTTTTTCTTTTCTTTTCAATTAAAAAAGTGTTCTTAACTCGGGTAATTTTATTTTTATAGATGATTTATAGATTTATAGAAAATTTCGCTGTCGGGATTATAGACTCTGCTATTCGAATGGATCTGCCAGGCCTGTTGAGTTTGTCGACTAGAATGAGATTTAACAAAAATATCATTCTCAGTTATTGTAATACAACCTACATTTCATGTATAGTATCTATCTACGTGACGTCATCTACAGTTGTGTACGTCAGAATGAAACCAATTTTACTAATTGAAAAAGTGCTACCAAATACGATAATGTTAACGTAATACCATCTCTTCCCTGGTTATTAGTGGTATGTCCCAAAGCTAATGTTTCAAGTTTAACGTTTGACTTTATTGGTTGTCGCGCAGTGAAATTTAGCCCGGGAACTAGATCAGTCTTGATCGTATTTTCATATTATCGTAATATGTGGGATATATATATAGTACTCGTGCAACTGAAGTGTACATAGTGAGTTGGCACACCGGCTGACGCTCACTGCGGTTACAGAGCACGTACAGTTACCTACGCATGTACAGACGGTTCATATTGATCGTCTGTTGTTAATCATCAATATTGGAGTGTTCTCGAACCTTGTATCCCACCACTCACAAGCCCTGTCTGACAACAGTCGTTATGCATCAGTAGTTTCCCGCTCTATGAATGTTTAATTCCACGCTAGATTCCAATTAGTATAATTGTAGGACTTCTAGTTTCAGTTTACTGGTGTCGAGCAGCTTTCCCCCCCCCTCGGACATAAGCATTTCTGTGAACGATTGAGGGTGTTTAAATTTAGTTAATTATTTAATTAAATGAGGATTCGATAACAATTTTAACAATTAGTCAGTGCAATTATATGGGACTGTCTTTAGTGTATATATTATTAAGATGTTTCATGATTAAAATAAAACAGTGTAAAAGCGTTTGTGAAGCTTTATCTCGTTAACCAGTATCGTGGAAAACCACAAGAATTAAAGTAATAGTCGCCATGGCCGGCACACGTTCTAGTTTACTCTAAACAATCAACGTAGTTTACTCGCGTTGTCGCATAGGACTCGCGTACGTCGTAATGTAACGACTGCGATACTCCATGATAATTTATGGTTATTGAAACTGACTACATGTATGTTTTCGATATATTTGAACATTTTTGTGTGCGCTAATTATGCTGAATGTGGATATATTTGATTTGTTCATTTATTTCCACCATGATCAACCAAATTTGAAATTTTGTAGTTGTTGCGGTATTGTCAATGCCCACTAAAAAACGAACATCGTGACTAGAGCGTCCCAGCCTGAACGAGGTCCCCTCAGAGCAGAGTGGTCTACTGTATACGAGGTCTTCTACTATATACGTGCTCCTCACACAGTACTGTGGCTCAATCAAGAACTATCCCTCCCATTCACGGCGTATTTTTCATCCCGCACGTTGCCAGGCGTAGTTTTAGAGGCCCCTGAAATAATAACTTATCCTTTTAGTGAAACTGAGTATGGCTTCAAGGATTTTATCTTGGCCTCGAAGAAAAGAAATCTAAACACTATGACGTGAAAGCGATTTCCTTGCTTGCAATTGTTTCACTCCGCCGCGATTCAAACGCTTTTAAAGAACAAAGTTGTTTTTATCAACAATCTCGCATAGAGTGGGCCTCTATGTTAATATTTATACGGCGTCCTCGAATACACGTTTGTGAGATAGATCACATTTAAACAGAGAAAGGAAATGTGCGTGAAGGAATCTAATACCGTCAAAGCGACATCAGAATAAATAGTTTTGGAAGCGGATCGGAAGAAAGAGAGTAGGCAACGAAAAGAGGTTTGCAAGAGATAACAACTTGCTCCCGGTTAAAGCAACAGACAAAAACCATCATGACAGAACCGTGTTGCAATATAGTAACAATGTATTAAATTGATAACAGAATGATTAAAATTTTAAATTTATATAAAAATAATACAATTATTATTATTCACTTTTATGGCCTATCCGCGTATGTCTATGGCCTACACTTGTTGAATTACTGGCATGGATTTGAAGACAGCAGCAAGATGTTCGTTATTATTTTTCAAGAACGGTCAGATGGCCCATAGTTTTATAAGATGTATTATAATTTCAAAGATTGTTAACTGCGGACTCGATAACGTGTCCGGATCCCGCCGAGAACTGCTATAGCCGTGACGGGTCATACAGAGCGTAGTCGCAAACGTTCAGCCGCCCCACAACCGATGATGTGTCGACTTGTCTACATCGCCTTGACTGCGCAAACCTTCGAACCTTCGCAAGAAAAAAAACATATTTAGAATACATTTGCGAAAGTAGGCTATTTTACACTCCCTTGAATTTAAAACTTATACTGAGACAGGAATAAAGCAAATGACATTTACGCGGTTATTTGTCACGTCCGAGGACACCGCAAATTAAAACGTTTCCTATTTATTTCGAAGTAACTCTGAAGGGGTGCCCAGACGGTGAAGCACTCCATAGACACGGGCAAACTCACCTTGATCACTAACATTCCAATCTCGTATGTTTACGCCTTAATCGACAATATCAACAAACGATCTTTGTTTGCAAACTACCGTGAGCATGATCAAAAAAACGCCGCAGACATTGATTAGGAGAAAATTCCATAACTGGAATGTACCGCCCTCATGTGCCTTCAATTGCATTTATAGCTCACAAATTAGGCTCCTAACAAAACACAATTATTTTACACTCGAAACTATTTAGAAAACAAATATTACACTAATTTGTCGTTGGTATATGCGAAGGTATTTTCACTACGGTAGGTGGTGGCGTTGGACGCATGTCCCGTCTTGTTTCCGTCAACACCGGCATAGTTTAGCTTTATAAAACACCACATATTTTCATCAATTACCAGGCTTGGGTTCAAAAGATGTTATTTTCATTTTATTATTTTTCCATAGAACGTTCCTCATTCCGCGCACCGAACAAACAGCCAGCTGCAAATGGAGTATATTCTAAGACGAGCCCATTTAACGGAGTGACATCCTCTTTGGGTCTGGACACCACGCCATTTGACATTCCAGAAGGTGAGCGGCTCACACAAAGTCTTATTCTACGTGATTTTCCGCTCTCTTTTAGAGCGACCTACAGTGAGTGGAATGTCACACGGGTAAAGCGCAACTGTCGTCGTGTTCGCTCATAGACCTTAGGCTGTATTCCAATATTGTTTTTTCGCGTTGAGGAATGCACTCTTTGAGCACACGTTTTTTTTTTTTTATTTCTTAAGCGATTTATATGTATTGGACTAGTTTCTAATATACGACACCAATTTGTAATAAAAAAAATTAAAGTGCATTTTGTTTCTTGGGATACCAAATACTTATTATTGTGAAAGTATTTCACAAATATAGGAGTAAAAAATAATATATTCTGATTTGTAAATTTAAATGATAGAAATATAAGTTGAACATGGAAAATAAAAATAATGGACGTTGATATTTTAGGAAAGCAATGACGTCACATATGGTAAATATGTGACGTCATTTCTTTCCTAAATGATGCTCGACAAATGATTTTACTATTATATTCTAATTTTATACTAGTATATGTTTTGCTTTTCAACAGGGATAGCAATTTATCAAACAACGTTTGCTGGTTGTATGCACTACGGTGTTTTCTGCAATAAAGACGTCATCCCGAAAGGTACTCGGTTCGGTCCGTTCGTCGGCAGAACCGTTCACACTAGCGAAATTAAAACCAACGATGATAACACTCACATGTGGGAGGTACGTACTTGTTGCCCTAGCGCTTCTTTCTCGTATATGCCGCCCTCTAGCGGGAGTTTTCGGAAACTATTTAATTCTGTTTCTTAATATACCGGTAATTTTATTTTAATGTTTCAGATTTTCAAAGATGGGAAACTGAGTCATTTTATCGATGGTCGAGGAAGCTCTGGTAATTGGATGAGTTACGTTAACTGTGCTCGGTACGCTCAGGAACAGAATCTTCTTGCAATCCAGTCTGATGGTGAAATCATGTATGAGACATGCAAAGACATACCAAGGGTAGGAACCAACATGTCATTATCGAAATATATTCGTAGTTAACTTATGTGACTGGTTAAGTCTATTAGATGTTGTTTGCTTTTGTATCTAGTTAAAATTTGTTAAATAAATTGTGATTCTTTAGTCAAATATCGACATTATTCAGGCACATGATCAGTTGTATTTGTTGTCTCTTCAAAGCTTGTCATCAATTTCCAATTTGATTTACTCATACGAATGCTAATGCCTAGTTCAAGCTAGTTAAATATTGTTACATCTGGTTCATTCTAGTAAAATATCCAATGTTTTATCGGGTTTAGTCTGTTTCATACTTGTTATTTCTAGTTCAGGCTAGTTGAATATTGTTACATCTAGTTCATTCTAGTAAAATATCCAATGTTTTATCGGGTTTAGTCTGTTTCATACTTGTTATTTCTAGTTCAGGCTAGTTGAATATTGTTACATCTGGCTTATTCTAGTGCAATATCAATTGTTTTATCAGGTTTAGTCTATTTCATTCGTGTTATATCTAGCTCAGGCTAGTTAAATATGGTTTGTTCTAGTACATTATCCATTGTTTTTTTCAGGTTTAGTCTATTTCATTCGTATTATACCTAGAGTCCAGGCTAGTTTAATGTTGTTACATCTGGTTTATTCTAGTACAATATCATTCGTTTTATCAGTTTTAATCTGTTTCATTCGTGTTATATCTGGTTTAGTCGTAATGCTCTAGTTTAGTCCGGTTTACGCTTGTTATATGTAAAAACATGACGCCGCACTGTATGTACATACTTATTCACACAAGCAGCCATGAATAGTCGTAGTCATGGTTACTGTCTTTTCACCCCAGGGTCAAGAGTTGTTGGTTTGGTACGGAGATTGTTACCTCCAGTTCATGGGGATACCAGTGGCTTTAAAAGAGATGGCGGATGGGAATACAGTTGATGACAGCACAGCTGAGAGTAAGTAGTATTCTCATTAATTTAGAAAATGTAGTGATAAAAGGGAGAAACGTACATAGAAAATATATCGAAAAAATCTTTTTCCTATCACTTTTTCCTCTGAAAGACGTATTATTTTTAAACGACCTACAAGATTGCAAAGAATTGTGGGTAACCACTGATGCCAAACTGGGAATGATATTACATAACAATCGATTAATCATCAATCATCCAAATCAATCAATCTACCATCATTTTCTTTGCAGATAAAGAAGGCTACGCCTGCGAACGCTGTGGTAAAGTGTTTGCGTACAGATACTATCGTGACAAGCATTTAAAGTACACGCGATGTGTGGACCAAGGCGATCGTAAATTCCCATGCCATCTTTGTACTCGTTCGTTTGAGAAGAGGGATCGACTCAGGATACATATACTGCATGTACATGAGAAACACCGCCCTCACAAGTGCACAGTTTGTGGCAAATGCTTTTCACAGGTGAGTTTAAGCGCCCTCTACGATTCAAACAAAGTAGACTATTTTTTAGTTTCAAAACACATTGTGACAATATGAACATTTATTTAAAGCCGTCTTTACCTGTGTATACGTCAGATGGCCATAGCGTGTCATTGTTTACAAACAAGCGTCTACCCATGAGCCTTTGAGTTTTTAGCGTGTGTTGTTATCGTCGCCTGGGACTCAATTCCCACGATAGCGCAGATGACGACCCTCCCGCTTGAAATGCTGCGAGTTTTCATCCATGTTAATAATCATATTTTTTTCATTATTCTTCAGTCGTCAAGTTTGAATAAACACATGCGAGTTCACAGTGGAGAGAGACCGTACAAATGCGTCTATTGTAGCAAGGCCTTCACTGCATCCAGCATTCTAAGAACTCACATCAGACAACATAGTGGCGAGAAGCCGTTCAAGTGTAAACATTGTGGGAAGGCATTTGCATCGCACGCTGCGCATGACAGCCATGTAAGAAGGACGCACACTAAAGAGAAGCCATGCGTGTGTACGGTCTGTGGCAAAGCGTTTACACAGTCGTATGAACTGAAGTTTCACATGAATATGCACACGGGTTAGTAGGTACATAATGTCATCTGAAAATATTCAAACAAGTTTTGTGTTCATGTTTTGTTTCGTCTTGTATTGTGTGTCATAGTTGTCAACAACGTTATCACTATATACATGTACTAATATCATCATAGTTATTTCATGCGATCGATAGAAACGTGACCCAGTTCATCCAATCAGCACGCATAATTTGGGACATGGTCTGAAATACAAGTTTAACCAGGGTGAAAACTTTATGTTACGATATCGTACTTCTTATTGATAGACTGACTTCAAATTTCAATTTTTTTTCAGGGGACAAACCATATCAATGTAAAAAGTGTGGTCGCGGATTTTCTAGCCCGTCTTCACGTGATCGCCACTGTATACATTTTGATTGCTCGGCGTCCCAGGTGATAAAGTGTGTACGAAGAGACAGCAACGCTGGCAGCTTGGAGTCGACTACATCGTCACCAAGAAGTGATATCAGCGGAATCAGTGATTATCTCAGTAGCACGCCACGCGGTGGATATGATCCTGTCAGCGATGACGAAATAGACGTAGAAAGCATCGATTTCACAGGGTCTTATGCATGTATTCGTAATTCAATTTCAACTATGTAAAATAAACTCTATCACAAGAAGGTGATCATTATTTCTATGGGGAGGAGGTGTTCTGGCAAATCTGTAAAAGAAAACAGATATGCCAATCTGGGTAGATGAAGGATCGTGCAATGTATTGCAAAATGAAAAATGAAGATACTTAAAGCGCGGTGTTCGTCGCGCAGCGCGTGTTCGAATTTCATGTAAATAACAATGTATTTTACACGCGTTTCATACGTCGCTATGAGTCCATATCGAACAGGACGCGGCGTGACGACCACCGCCCTTTAAACTCCCTTAGTTATGCAATTCGCATACAGGGTGGATTGTTGTTGATGGACCCTCACAAAATATGTTATTTTGTACTTTTAAGTGTATTTCACCATCCTCTGGTGCACGATTCCAATTAGAAATAACTTAAATACTGAAATTGGAAATTGATTTAAAGTAAATTAATTTATTTGCAAAATTAATGACTATATTGTATATTCAAGAATTATGATAAAAATGTGTTAGTTTATTCATTTATATGTATTTTGTTCATTCAGAATAAGATTACACTTTCTTCATATCAATATTTAATTCCTAAACAATAACTCGAGCAACATTCTTAAATTTGTATATTATTTGCTGTTTTGATAGGTCAGACTGATTTGCATATCACGTGATGTAGTAGTAGCCAATCAGAGACCACATCTTGAACATCGATTATAATATATACCTACTCCCTAACATGCTGTAAATTGTCTACACTATGATATGCGCCCTCTAGCGACAGCTGCAAATTACAGAAACATATGCTGGTTAGCGGCGACTTTTTCCTTACACGCAAAACATATCATTGTCGCAATTGAGGGTGGCATGTCATAATTTTCTGTGGATTCTTTATGGTACGTAAAAACCCTCAATAATTAAAAAAAAATCAAGTAAAACATAAAAATAATTCAATTCAGGGCACCATTTTTCAAGGTAGTACCGGTACACAATGACTTGTAGTTTTTGAACAAGGTATTTCCAACCTTTAGACAGCAGGATCGGCCAGCTTTTTGCAATAAACTCTGTTACATTTTTGTTTTGTTTTATTTATTAAATTTTTGTATATAAAATATGGAGACTCTGCAGCTCTATAGCTGTGAGAAGTTTTTTTTATAATTATTCAATCTTTTTGCACATCATGACATGTAAATACATTTGGTGACCATACAAACAGATTGGAGTGGGGGTGGGGGGGGTTCAATTTATTTCGTTCGTCCACATATACTGACACTGAAAAGCTAGTCTATAATTAAGTGTTCAAGTTACCCGTACAGTTGGAGAAATTGTAATGTTTTGCTTTTTTTTTGCCAATTTTACTAACTTTACTTCTCAATACTTTATGTGACGACCCCAATGTAGTTATCCAATGAAAATCACCTGTAATGTAACCTTTGACCTCAGCTGTTACAGTTAACCAAAGTAGCTCCACCCACCAAACAATCAGGAAATAGGTTACAATTTGTGCCTAATAACCAATCAGGAAGCAATTTGCATATATCATTCAATATAAACCAATTGGGAAGTAGCTTATCAGTGACTATATTTGTAATTTTCTCCAACTCGCTTATATTGCAATAAATAGAATGGAATGTTTTTAAAGTATTTCTTCTAAATAAAGGTTAATAAAGACATTATCTAGTGTTATTTTAATATGTCCAAATTTGGGCATTGCATGTCAATCAAGGTAACGAACATTACTTATATGTGCTTATCTTTGTCAATATACAATATATCAAACAATGAATGTCAAGTTCAAAGTCAAGTTTAGAAACTTGCCTTGACTTATTTGGTACATCACTATTAAAACATGGAACACTCACCATAAATTCGAAATTGTTCAGATAAATATCAAGTCATGGGAGCCACATGTATTCTACAACAGACATATCAACTGAATGCAACATGAATGGACCCCTTCCCCCTTCTGTCGCTAACTTCACCAGTCTCGATTTACATTAGGTTCTCTTCGCTTTATTTGTCGGTCTCAATTTTCAGTGTAACAAACACAGCAACAAGAGGGCATCTGTCGATATTTGGACATGATTAGAAAGCTGGATTGACCAATTATCGGATTTAATGGGTCACTGCCTTTGCAAGCACTCACCAGAACATATTTGACGAAGTAGTTTTGACTTTCCAGCAACTTTCATAAAGGAACATATATAATAATAGCAGAATAATATGACTTCGCCCTGATGTTAATGGGATATGGACAATTTTTTTATTCATTTACATCGAACCGAGAGCGAAAATTACTTCCACTGGTTACAAAGATCTATGCAAGGCATATCATTCTGTCAAATTATTTTTCGTGTTTTAGCAGCGTGAAAACAATCACTGCGAGCCCATTTAATCTCCCTTACTCAAATATGAAGCATATTTTCAGGATTTCAGTTTCAATTAAAATTAAAAAACAAATCGAAGGAGTGTGCAATAATGAATATAGAAATTAATTTCTACAATAGTGAATCACAAAGACACAAGTTGAAACCCAAATGATGTATTTTAGAAAACAGACATCCGAGTCAAAAGACTGCCTTCCATCAAACACCCCCCCTCCTACACACAATGTCAGTGAAGACACACACTATAAGTGTCAAAGTTCATTCAATATATTCATTTAGAAATGCAGGACAGAACATTCCACATTGGAGACGACGGGAGTTGTCACCCTAAGACCATACACTGATACAGGCCTCTTGCAGCCGACAACATTGACCCGACAGCGTGTTTACTTTCGGTGAATGAAAAAGATTTGTATTCTTACCCTCCTCAAATTTTTTCTTCAGATTTAGATGTTTCAGAAAATCGAGCCCTGGGGCTTAGAAATCCACGGAATTCCGCGGAAAATTCTCATCCCTGTATATGCGAACGTAACACACACTATTGGATGTCATAAGCGCCTTGAGAAATACACTATGTTTATCAGTCAATTTGAAATTTTCCATATCCATGCAAGCTCCATTGTTTACCATTCATTTTTTGTTCTAACTATGATCAATAGATATTACTAGCATTATAGCTAGGCATTACTAGCATATAGCATGAGGAACTTCACATATATTTCACACTAGGACTGAAACAGATACAAACAATATATGCGATCTGTACAAATTTGACTGTCCCATGTAGAAATGTAATTATTGTGGGTTTTTTTAATTGAATTTAATAACACTATTTGAATATGCTGCACATCAAATCCCAATGTCTACATCAACATTGGTGATATGCACGGATAATATTTTGAAATCCTTCTAACATTTCAAAACTACCTGTACTACTATAATTCTAGATACAATGAGAATATAAATTTACATCTCTGCTGTGTGAACACTATAAAATGAAGAAATACAAATTATTTCATACAATAGCATTAGATATTCTATATGAAACTTGAATATCATGACATAATTTAGATCTGAATAATAATACTTCATATTACAATGAAAAAAAAAATAACAATTTTACAAAATAATGTGAATATTTCAACTGGTGGAGCTGGGTATAGTTGGGTAACTCAAGAAATGCCTACTGTGGAGCTGGGTATACTTGGGTAACTCAAGAAATGCCTACTGTGGAGCTGGGTATATCGGTACTTGGGTAACTCAAGAAATGCCTACTGTGGAAGCTGGGTATACTTGGGTAACTCAAGAAATGCCTACTTTGGAGCTGGGTACACTTGGGTAACTCCAGAAAAGACTACTGATGAAGCTGGGTAAAATTGGGCACCTCAAGATATTTTTACTTCATTCTGAAATGTCTATTGTAGAGCTGGGTTAACATGGATAACTCCAGATGTTTTCAGATCCAGATTTTCTGTGGGTAGAATTCGAACCTCACAAATACGTGTGATCAGTTTTGCTTCTGACCTACTGACATAAAAATCTATATTCGTTTAAAAAAAAACAATCAAATGAGCTAGAATATAATATAATCAATAATCTGGATGGAAGTGTATCTCAGGGACTATAAAAGGGATTACTTGGATCTAGCTGTTTCTCATCTTCCTCAAATGGATTATTACTTTCTTGTTCAAATGGGTTTTTGCTTTCCTCAAATGGATTAGTTGGTTCTCCAGTTAAGAATGGATTAAGGTGATCAGGAGTTCGTTGCGGTGTTGGCTTAGGAGCAACTCTATTACTGACTGTCGCTTGACGATTTTCAAATAGTTTCGGTTTCTCGCTAGGTTGGACAAGAGCTTTACCCCTATTTGTAGGTGGTGTGCGGCTGACAGGCGGTGTGCGGGCAGCAGGAGCTATGCGGCTGCTAGGTGGTGTGTGATGTGGCACAGGTTGCGGCTTGGCAGCTCGCTTGCTACTATCAAATGCAGCAACATGCTCTGTAGGTTTTGCTGTGTGTCTACTGCTCTCAAACGATGATGCCACGTGGTCGGATGATTTAGTTGAGCGCTTGCTGGTTTCAATTGACATGACAGGATCTTTGGATTTAGAATGCCTAATCCCATCAAGAGATGTTAGAGGTTCTGTCTGATTGCGACTACTCTCAAACGGAGAAACGTTATCAGTTCTTCTGACGGCTGGGAATGGATTGATTGGTTGGCTTTGTTTATGTCCCATCAGCTGATCACGTTGAAGGGTGGGGTCGATTACAACTCTCGTTGGAGCAGGTTTCTTCTTCACTGGCATTGAGTCAGTCAAAAGAGTCACCTACAAGAAAACAAAGACACATACAGTAAATAAAGAGAATATCTGTGTGAGAACATCTATGGGTAAACAGAGACCACATACAGTAAAATACAGAGAACACTTATGGGAGAACTAACTAACAGAGATCCCACATGCACATACAATAACTACAAATAAGGTAGAGAAAAACCATAATCTAGAATTGATGTTATGACATCCAATTTGCATAAATCTGAATGGTAATGCGATACATGGATGCATGGAATGTCACATAGATTCTAGGCGTTAGTGGATAGTTAGGTATTTATATTTACGTTCTCCACCATTACTACGTATAAAAAATTGTGAACATTGAACACCTGGTATACTGACAATTCATCCAATCACAGTTAGACATTTATATTTACATTCTCCACCATTACCACGTATAAAAAATTGTGAATATTGAACACCTGGTATACTGACAATTCATCCAATCACAGTTAGACATTTATATTTACATTCTCCACCATTACCACGTATAAAAAATTGTGAACATTGAACACCTGGTATACTGACAATTCATCCAATCACAGTTAGACATTTATATTTACATTCTCCACCATTACCACGTATAAAAAATTGTGAATATTGAACACCTGGTATACTGACATTTTATCTAATCACAGTTAAACATTTATACTTGCATCGCCATATATGGAAGTCAAATTTTAAATGTACCGTAACCTTATCACAATTCTACTTCAATCCTGAACAATTAAAACCAAAACAAAATTCCTCTAAAATGACTACCGGTAACTGACACCAGGTGGTAAGTTTTCTGCGTTACATCATAAAACGTCTTGCCTTAATTCTTCAGAAATTTTAAAACCACTTTGTTATAAATTCTGGTTTCTTAAGAAGGAAAAACAAAAGTTATATTTCCAAACCAAATCAAGCCATCAAAACAATATTTAATTTGGCATTTATGAATAAAAGTCTGCAATCAATTACTGAGTAAAGAAAAGAGCTTTCTGATAAAATGTTTTTGTGCCAGACAACAGAATTATGACAAAGAGTGTAACTGTTGGTGCAATTTAAACTGTACATATATGTACATACACAGACATTAATAGACCCTCAGAACCAATGTCGCATTAGTGAATGAGAAATGTCTTTCCTGTATGGCACACTCACCCAGGGAACAGACCAATTCTTTTAGTGTTTTGTCCCAAGTTGGACAAAGCACTAACTTCTGATTAGAAATATTAAGACTGGATAATTGCTACTTATGTAAATTGAGCGCCTATTATGTCCAATGTATGTACCAAGTTTGAACAAAATCCATCTGTAAACAGCAGAGATCCATTTCCATAATAACAGAAACGCTTGATTATTTTTAGCACCCTCAGCCATTTTGAACCAGATCATAAAACGAGTAGACGTGGATATGTATCCCAAGATGTATGATGTAATTGTGAAGTTTGAATGTGATTGGACCAGGCATGTCAGCGATACAGGTGGTCGCACATACACACATCACAGAGATCAAAACATAAGTCCCTATTTTTGGACAGTTTTCGAACTGAAACTAATAATAATTATAAAATATTAAATTTATGGGTAAAGGAGAAAAAAATGTTGGAAGAGGGGGGGGGGCAAGATTAATGGTTCTCTGTTCATGATGAAATTCATCTACACAACGATTGTCCTAATGTAGTAACATTTGTATCACTACATTGAATCACAGCTAAAACAGTAAAAGCATTTATGTTAAATGGGATTTAATTTAACTTTTTGTTATAATATTCACTGCAGCAGTTCACAAATTCACACATTCTTGAGTTATTTATATTTTTCATGTTAAAGCCTGGTAGTCTCATATAAACAAATATGGCGACTTTGACTGTTGCGCAGATCAAAGAGTACGAACTGAGACGTTTCCAAGCTTTAATTAGGTAATTTTCATGTGATTGGAAGGTATCGAAAGAGTCACCGGCGGTAATCAGTGCAAGTCGCGCCCAGGTCAAACCTCATACTTGTGATTTCCATTTGAAGAGCGCATTGTATTGTGGAAAAATCAATATTTATCAACACAAATGTCGCACATACACAGCGCGACGACTACCGCGCTTTAATTTAATTTATGGAATTTGAAGCAAAGTGAGTAATTAATGCAAGCACTTTGGATTTCAACTACACAAATAATATTGGTGTTGCACAGGTCGTGTGGGACCCATATTGGACAGTACATAGAATGTGACACTTAAGTCCCAGTCATTGTACATAATCAAATGACTGATGGAAGAGCTGCATAGTAGGCTCCAAACAAGCCTACTGAAATTAGAAAGTAGGCATGTAAGAAAGACTTATTACCTTGTTGAAAACACCTCTTCCAAAATAGTCGGCTACAACAGAGAAGCCATCAGTTGCTCTATCCAGCTATAAGAAAAAGTTACAAAAAATGATTTAAAAAAATCAGGGATTAAAATTCGAGATGTGGTGTATTCGGCTTCGCTCGGGAAAGTACGGCCGCAGGATACATCGCATCACTCGTGAAAATGACTTCCATACGCAACGAAAGCCACGGGGAGGGTGTGGGGTTCTGTCATATTACAATACATCATTGCCCATAAACTACTGTAGAATACTTTATTGAAGGGATGCTTCGGTGAAAATAAAATCCAGCGAATATACCTTTTCTCCCATATTTCACATTCAACATATAAAAAATCAGTGAAAATAAATCCCATACAAAACACATTTCAGTGAAAACTAATTCCAGCTAAAATGAAGTACGGTATTTTACAGTAATAACAATATACCAATGTTCAAAACTATAACTCTACACCACAATTACATAATTTTTTGTTTTCAATTAAAAAATTTTGTATTAATTTGTTTAAAAAAAAAACATTTGTAGAATGTTTCACCACAACTTTTGAAAACCAAGATGTTTACCTGGTGATGAAACTGTTCATGTAAGTCCTTGCTGTGTTCCTGTGCGCGGATGATATCCAAGACCTTCCTATTTTCAGACATGCAAGCCGGACACTCTGATTCACTCTCAGCGTAACCTTCAAAACAACTATTTGATAAGGAAATAACATTTTTTTCATTTTAATATTAAAGTATGGCTTTAGTGCATCATGGGAAATGTAATATGAATGGCTCACCCATCATTATTATTATTTTCAGCCTAAGATTCACAAGGTAAACAATCCTGGTAGACCCATTGTCTCAGCATGTAATTGTCAGACTGAGCACATAGCTCGATATTTGGATTCAATGTTGAGACCAATTGTTGCGTCACAGCCTACGTATGTTCAGGATACTAATGATGCACTTAGGAAACTAGAGTTATTTCGTTTCACACCGGATAAACCCAGATTTTTATTTTCTATGGATGTAAAATCACTTTATACATCTATCCCGCACACTGATGGACTGTTGGCTTTACAGCATTTTCTGAATAAAAGGGCAGTTAAGGATCCTCCTACGTTTGTGTTGATGCGCCTAGCGGAATTAGTTTTGAACGGGAATTGTTTTTCTTTTAATGGAAAACATTATATACAGAAACGAGGTGTGGCTATGGGCAGTTGTTTTGGTCCGAGCTATGCATGTTTATAAATGTCATATCAAGAGTTAATTTTTTCGTCCTTTCAAGGCACTAAACCTGAATTTTATGTCAGGTACATTGATGATGGCTTTGGTGCCGTGTCAAGCAGTCGGGATGAGTTATTACAGTTCATTGACTATGTTAACACTTTATCCCGCCATAC